GGTCCTCTTGGGCGTTGAGATGAATACTCAGTGGCCCAGGAATGTCTGGGAAGGGCCCTCTGCGAGGTCGGCAGGAAGTGGGGCTGCTTCCACCTCACAGCCCGCAGGGTGTGGGGCAGAGCACGCAGAGGGACCCTGCCGCTGTCGGAGGTCTGGAGCCGCTGTCGGAGGTCTGGAGCCGCTGTCGGAGGTCTGGAGTCGCTGTCGGAGGTCTGGAGCCGCTGTCGGAGGTCTGGAGTCGGTCGTTCTAGAGTAAGTGCTGCCTGCGGTCAGCCTAACAAATCCTAAGCAACACCTGAGAATAAAACTTTCCAAGTCACTGAACTGTATCCCCGAACAAAATTCAACAACACTCAGAGATAAAAAACTGCACAGCTCCTAAGAAGACAAAATGCACAGTGCCTGGCACCCAAAGCAGGATTACTAGACATCCGAAGACACAGAACACCAGGGCCACAACGAGAAAAGGCAGCCGGTGGAGACAAACCCAGCACTGACCCAGACGTTAGAATTAGCACATAAACACATTTAAACAGCTGTTGTAACTGTGGTCCAGATACTAAAAAAAAATAAAAAATAAATAAAAAAATGGAGCAGAGGCATGGGAGATATAAAACAGGCCCAAACTGAATTCTAGCGATAAAAACGACAATGTCTGAGATGAGACAACAACAAAGCCTCTGGATGGGATAACTGTCAGATTAGACACTACAGCGGTATTAGTGAGATTGAAGACATCTCAATGGAAGCGACCCAAAATAAAAACAGAGAGAAAACGGAACCTCTCCAAATGAAAGCAGATCACTGAGCTGTGGGCAGCCTCAAGAAGCCAAGTCTGTCTGCACGGGTCCAAAGGCGAGAAGAAAGAAGAGAAACCGAAAAAAACATCTGAAGAAATAATGGCCTTCAAATTTCCAAATTTAATGAAAAATATAAACCCCGTTCCCAAAAGCTCAAGAAAAGCCAGGCATAGCAAGAAAAATCACTCCAAGGCACATCAGGATAGGATTTCATAAAGCCAGTGATAAAGAGAAAAATCTTAAAAGTAGCGGCAAAAAGACGTGTTATAGATGGAGGGACAAAGGTCAGGTTCGGGCCGGGTTCTTGTTGGAAACAGTGCATCTGAGGACACAGTGGGACAGTGAGGGCAAGTACTGAAGGGAAAGCCCAGCCAACCTTCCATACCCAGTCAAATAGCTTCAGAACAGAAGGCAAAATACCTCTGCAGACACACACAAGCTGAAAGGATCTGTCACCAGCAGGCTCAGGCTAAGAGAAGTGTTAACAGCATCCCCCGGGCAGGAGGCCAGGGCACCAGATGGAGAGGTGTGTCCACGCGAGGGAGCACTAGACAGGGTAACTGCCGAGGTGAATACAGTAGATGTTGTCTTCTTGCTTACATTTATTGAAAAGGTAACTGAAGAAACAAGAGTAAAAAATAATGGCCATGTGTTCTGAGGTTTGATCCCATGCGTAGATGCACATGCTGAAAACTGCATGAGTTATAGTTGTTTGGCTCAACTGTGTGACAAAATGTCATAAAGTTTGGGAAGGGGATGGAGAGATATTGTTTAAGGTTCTTATACTATATGTGAGGTTGTATGATATCATTTGAAGGTAGACTTCAAAGACTACATCCGTAACTCACCATTTGAAGGTGGTGAGTTATGGATGTAGACTCTAAACCCTAAAGCAAGTACTACAGCATCAAAAGAGGTATAGCTAATACGACAATAAAGGAGATAAAATGGAATTCCAAAAAAGAGGAAAAGGAAAATAAAGAACAAATGGGACCAGTAGAAAATAGCAAATGGCAGTTTTTAACTCAGCTATTTCAATAATTGTATTAAATGTAGATGGTCTAAACACCCCGATTAAAAGGCAGAGGTTGTCATTGTGGATTAAAAAATCCAACTATATTCTGCCTATAAGAAACAAGCTCTAAATATAAAGACACAAAAAGGTGAAAATTAAAAGGACGGGAACAAATATGCCAGGATAACACTAAAGATAAGGAAGCTGAAGTGACTACATTAACATCAGAAAAAGTAGATTTCAGAACAAAGACTGTTGCTGGGGATGAAAGAAGCATTTCATAATGACAAAGGGGTCAATTCATCACGAGGACACACAAATCCTAGATGTTTATGCAGCTACTAACAGAGCGTCCATCAAAATATACGTGAAGGAAAAAGTGAGGACGACAGGACAAATAAATCTATGACTATAGCGGCAGATTTCCACACCCCTATCTCAGTAATCAGCGAAACAAGGAAAAATCAGTAACCATCATCAACCACCATCTGTCCATCCATCCATCATCACACCAGGTTTTTCACAAATTTATCTGTTCAGTCCAATCTCTTCCCCGGGAGTTGATTTACTCTTTCAGTTAATTCTCTCATTAACTCGAGTCACTTATTCATAAATTTGTCAGTCTATCCACTCATCACTACACCTGTTGCATCCTTACTACTATCTGAAGTCATCCCTCATTTACTCACTTATCTACTGTTAACTCAAACATCCACCCACCCATTTACTACACACACTTATGCTGTTTACTTGATGGAAAGTCCTGAGAAAGTGGGGACCATGTTTGGTTTCGTCCACAATTGTATTGTCCAGTGTCACCCATCCTGGTTCTCACACGAAAGGCACTCAGAAATTGTGTTGAATAACTGAGCTCACCCGTCAGTTCATCTGTCCATTTGCTCAGCCATCTGCTTATCTAATTATTCATCCATTAAATCCCTTCACCTATAAATTTTTTCATGTATGAATTCACTGTTTCATCCATTTATTCCATTATCCAATGTTCATTCTTTTATCATTTAATCCACTTATTTATTCATCTCATCATTCGTTCGTCTACTCATTACCTTATCCATAAATTTACTCATGACATTATTCTTTTACTTCATCTGTTGACTCATTTAGCTTTCCATTTATTCCAGTTCTTCTACCTACAAACTAACCTTTGGCAAATCCTTAACCTTATTTGAATCTCAGTGTCCATATATTCATATATGGGGCTTTTGGAAGATTAATGATAATGAATGAAGTTTCTTAGCACAATTCCTGGCATAGTCAGTGCTTGGTGATAGTCATTCTGTAAGTATTCACAATTTCTTTAAGTTACTAATTCCTTGACTCACCCACCTGCCTGTTGTCGCTTCCGTACACTTCTCTAACTCAGTCATTCACCCCTTGTCTCATTTATTTGCCATCCATTCACTTATCCTCTCCTCCATTTTACATATTTTGACTTTCTTTTGTAACATACAAAGCACTCACCTGACACTACCAAACCAAAGTTGTGTGGTTCGATTGCCCACAAAAGAAATCCTGATGGAGAAGCACGTGAGTCCAGAAGCAAACTGCTGCCAGAGCCCCCCCTCCCTGCAGAACCCTGCCGTGGGCCTCTTTGTAGGGCTCTGGAGGAGCAGAGAGGTTTGGGCCCCGAAGGGCTGCATTCTGCAGTGAGGTCTGCAGAGGGCCCGCGCGGGGCTGCGGGGGGAGGAGGGGAACGTGGGGCGGGGACCTGGAGGCCTGCCTGGTCTGGACAGGGAGACCCAGAGGACCCTTGGGCGTCTGATTTGGGGGGAGTTGCATCTTGACGGTCAAGGCTCCCCGCCATCTCGGGTGAGCGGTGAGAGCCCCATTTCTGCAAGCCGCCCTGTCTCGAAAACGGGAGAGTGCAGCACCTCCTTCCTTGAACCTGACCAGCGTCCTGTCACTAGGTGGCCTCGCTGGACGCCGTGGCCAGCGTGCTGCAGTCGTAGGACCTGAGCCTCACGGAGGCCATGCTCCGGAACATGGAGGCGGAGCAGCAGCGCCGGGCCCAGGAGTCCGAGCGACACAAGGAGGCGGAGGCCAAACGGTGCGCGGGTGGGAGGAGGCGGGGCCCCGGCAAGGAGGTCCCGTGACCGGCCCTTCCCTCCCACCCCAGCATGAACCTCAAAGTGCAACAGCTGGCTAAGGAACAGCGGCAGTGTCGCAAAGCGGTGAGCACCTGGGAGAAGCCGGGGGCGGGGGTAGGGAGCTGGGCACGGAGGAGCCCTGGTGGTGGGCGTGAAGGGCAGCCCTCGGGCCCCCACCGGCCCTCCCGCCCAGCTGCAGCAGGCGTACTGCGAGCTCAACCGGAGGATCGCTGAGCACAAGTGTGAGCGGAGGCACGTGGGCAAGGCGGAGCTCACGCTGCAGGTGGGGTTCCTCCCTCAGACCTGGGGTTCCGGGCATGTCTTCTCCTCCCAAACATGGACCTCCTGGGGGCCCGCCACCCCCTAGTTGGGTGTCCGGACCTCCGGGTGCGGAGGGGGTAAAGCCTTGCTCTGAGAGGAGTGTGGGACCCCTCCTCCAGGCCATCCAGGACGCGGAGGCCCAAGTGGACAGGCTACGGCAGGAGGCTCAGAAGGCCGAGGAGACGCTGGCCACCGCCAGGCTGGAGCTGCGGGAGCAGACCCAGGAGGGTGGGCGGGGCTCGAGGGGCCAGGCCCAGGGAAGGGCTCGGTCAGGCGTTGGGCCCTGTGGTCGGCCCCACCCTTATGTCCCCACAGGGGAGGAGGAGGCGCCCGGGATGAAGTGCCAGGTCACTGAGCTGCACGACGTGCTCATGAAGGACGTGGGAGACCGCATCCGCGCTGACGGCCGGTGGGTCAGTGGTCTGGGTAGGGAGAGGGGCGAGCAGAGGGTTCGAGCAACAGCAGTGACCTGGTGGCCGCCCCCAGGTGGCCTCTTATCATTGACCCTTCGGGCCAGGCGGCCACCTTTCTACGCTACCAGGACACCAACTACTTGGACACGGTGAACCCGGAACACATGCGGCCTGAGAGGATTCGATTGGCACTGCTGGGGGCGCTCAGGTGAGGGGACTGGGCACACATGCCCGCGCCCCTCGTCGCCGGCCCCGCCCCTCACCACCTGCCCTGCCTGGCAGGTACGGGAAGCCGCTGGTGTTCGACCTGCGCGAGGTGGACCTGTTTCCCGTGGTGCAGCAGCAGCTGGAGGCGGTACAGCTGGGCCTGGCGCAGGAGCTGCTGAGTTGCCGGCTGCTGGAGCAGGACAGGTACCTGTCGCTGCTGCGGCCCTCCGATGGGCCTGAGTACAGCCCCACCCAGTTCCAGGAGGCACGCCTGGGGCAATTCCGCCTCTTCTTTGTCACCAAGGTACGGTGGCCAACGGCTGAGCAGCTGCAGGTCCTGCTCCCGGTGCAAGTACAGCTGTCCAGCGGCCTTTAGCGCCAGGCCCCAATAAAGGAAACGCGCCCCAGGGCGCCGAGTCTGCGCCTATGCTGGTCCGTGCTCTGTGCGCATGCCTGTGCGGGGAGGGGGCTGCTGCGTGTGCACATACGCATGCTCACATCCCTGGCCAGATGGGAACCCGGCCAGGGGACAGTGGTTTTTGGGCACTTGGAGGAGCCCCCATCCCGGGGGTAGGCATGCCAACCAGTCCCTCCGGATGTGGAGCAGCCCAGTGTGGGGGAGACCTAGGAGCTTGGTGGCCACACACACAAGCCCTGCCTCAGAGAGCAGTTGGAGTGGGCACTGGTTGGTGGACACAGTCGGGCGGAAGGTAAAATGTAGTCAATTTTATTCTCCTTAAACCACAAAATAGAGTCTTTGGTTGTACAAACATCACTAGTTACAGTCTTGCCAAGAGGTCCTGGCTGGGAGGGGGCAGTTAGTCAGCAGCCAGAACTCCTGAGGGGTTTCTTTAAAATGCTAACACCCAGGTTAAAAGACTCGGGGCAAGGGCGGTGTTGGAGCTGGCAGAGCCCCCACCCCAAGTCCAGGGGAGGTACCCAACCCTCTAGGAGGGCACTGGGCCTAGGCCGCGGCGCCCTGGCCGCATCGGGCGGCGGCTGCTGCACAGTGTCACCTCCTCCGGGCCCATGGCGTCTGGCGAGGGCCTGCCCAGAAGCACCATGGCCACCTCTCCGTCCTCCTCCTGAAGGCCTGGCAGGCAGAGGCAGGGGAGGAAGTGAGGTAATGGGGGCCAACCACGCACCCTGGGCGCACCCTGGAGTCTGGCCTAGCAACTCACCGGGGCTGGGGGATGGTTCCAAGGACCTCAGCTCCTCAACAAGGTCCGGGGACTGTGACGGGGAGAAGGGCTGGGTCAGGGCCCCACCCAGACATGCCCGTGACCACCCATGAGCCTGGGTGGAGAGGCCCCACCCTAAGGAACAGGTCTAGCCCCAGAAAGAGACAGGGCAGGTGCTGGAGGAGGGGACAGGGCTGGGAGACAGGTGCAGGTGGAAAGGTGGCAGCGGCTGTGTGGGCTGCCTGTCCGAGGGCCGGGAGGGCCCGGTACCTGCATGTCATAGACAGGTCTGGAAGAAGGCAGGGCTGCAAACACCCTGTAGTCGAACTTCCTCCCAGACAAGGCCTTGAGAGGACAGCGTGAGGAGAGAGAAGCAGAGAGTGGAGAAGAAGAGTGGGGTGCGGTGCAGTCTGGATCCCCGCCCCCACGCCGCAGGGAGGGGTGTGGGGAAGGGCGGCAGCTGGTCCTCACCAGGCGTCCCGGGGAGGTGCTGCTCTGGGGGCCGAGGTCTGGGGAGGCAAGAAGTGAACGTCGGGAGAAGGTCCACGCTGCAGGCCAAGCCCCCTGCCTCCCTTGGGACATACGGACCTTCCAAGGGGGTGGGTGATGGGGTGGGCGCAGGAGAGGGGGCCTCAGCCAGCCGCTCCAAGGGCCCACGCTTGCTCCGGCCCTCCTGGGACTTGCTGAGGACCATCTGTGCGCGGAGAGCGTCCTGCTCCAGAGACTTCATCCTGCGAAGGAGCGGGAGGCGGGGTTGGGTGGGACGCCAGGGTGCGGATGGGCGGGGCGCCGGTGGGTAGGGCGCTAGGGCCACACCTGGCTGCCCTCCACAGCGCGCGCTTCTCAGCCTCCAGGGCCCGGCGCTCGGCAGGGGACAGAGCCCGCTCCGGCACAGGAAGCTCGGGGCTCTGCACACGCAGCCGTTCCTGATGGCGCCGCTCAGCTTTGGCCGTCCGCACCGGCGCGCTGCTTCCCAGGATTGGAGGGGACGCAGGGCCGAGCCTGGGCCAGGGTACAGGACAGGAGGGTCAGGTGGCAAGGGTGCCGGCGGGAGGGGTGCGCCTGGTCGGTGCCAGCCCATCACCCGCCTCGCCCTGCGCCTCACCCTGCGGCAGGGCCCGGGCCGGCCCAGGGCGGCTCCTCCTCGGGCTCCTCATTTTCAGGGGCCTCCCCGTCCAGGGACAGCCCCGTGTCCACCACCTCCCGCAGCATCTGCGCCCTCTTCTGCTGCAGCTTTCGGGCTGGATGGGAGGGGATGCAGCAGGTTAGGCGGCAGCCAGGCTGGTCCCGCCGCCCTCCCACGGCTCAGGACATCCGCTCACCTTCCTCTTCCTGCATCTTCCGCAGGTCGTCAGCACCCACCAGCGACACGCGCTTGGGGGGTCCCTCGGCCTGGGGCACCCGCACCTCCAATTCAAAGTACTTTTGCCGCTCGCGGAAGGACAGCTGCTCCGGGGAGGCAGTGGGCCCAGGTGTGGGAGGCTGCGGACAGCAGGATCTGAGACCTGGGCGGGGTGATCTCCCTCCTGGGCACCAGGCCCTCTCCTGGGGGCATACACAAACGCCCTGCAGGCCAGGCACATGCAGCAGGGGAGGCGGCCACCATACCTGGGCAGTCGCGTCCAGGGGCGGGTGCGGGTCGGGCACAGCAGCGAAGGTCCTGTAGGCCCGCTTCACATCGGAGGGCAGCTCATCGGGGGAGGGCGGGGAGGGGGGCTGGGGGGTGAGGCTCTCGTGAGCTATGCTGGGACAGCTGTCCTGGCTGCAGCCACCACCCACCCTACAGCTGTTCCCGCCAACTGCCTCCGACCCCCACCCACCATGGTTCAGGGCACTCACAGAGCAGGCACCACCTCTGCCCCTGGGGGCCGGGGAGCCCCTTGGCCAGGCCTGAGCCAGTGGCTGGATCACCCCGGGTTTTGTCTGCAAAGGGCAGGGGCAGGGGCCAGAGGGACGGATTAGGGGTTCAGGTAAGGGGTGGAGGGATGGTGGGGAAAGACAGGGAGAGAGATGGAGCAAAGGTGGGCGGCGGGGTGGGTGGGCATGGGGCCAACACTCACCCATCTGCTCAGATGGGGCAGAGGCCAGGAGCTGGGCTCCAAGTGGGCAGTGCTGGTGCCTACCCGCCCCCCTGCAGTGCCTGGCCCTCCCCATACAGAACCAGAGAGCCTTGGCAGGCAGGGGTGGGGAGTGTGTGTGTGTGTGTGTGTGGGGGGGCCAAGGCAGGCTCACAGACAAGAGGACAGGCAGGGGTGAGGCAGAGAGGGACTGGGAGAGGAGGCCCTGCCCACCCAGCCCTGTCTGCCCGGGGGAGCCACAGGGACCTCCCCATCCCCACTGTCAGCTCTGGCCAGGAAGGTGCCCATGGGCTGTGCCTTCAGAGTGACGGATGGCACCTGGGAGGTGCTGTCCCCTGGCACCAGTTCTCCAGAGGAGAAGGCACTGCACACAGGCACCCCTCTGCACTGTCCTCCGCCCCCACCTGGTGGGCACTCACCTGCTGGTAACCAGGGGAGCAAGGGGCTTCGGCCATGTTCCCTCCAGCTGCCCCGGACGGGACCTGGAGGAGCCAGGAGGAACCGGGCGGTGGGTGGGGTGGAGCAGGGCTGGGGCCCGAGGAGGAGCTGGGGTGGGGTGCTCGCCTCGGCAGCACAGAAGCTGGTCCTCAGCTCCCTGACCTGACCACAGCCCAAGGGATGTCCCCAGATAGGCCTAGACTACTGCTTGGTCAGCACCAAGGGGTTCTCCCCGGGTTACTCCCCGAAGGCCACAGCCTGGGGTCTACCAGGCTCTCGCCCTCCCCCCACAATGCCAGGGGCTCAAGAGGGAGGCCTGGAGTGCCCTGCGCCTCTGCCTCGCCCCCCAGTGTCTGTCTGTGGCAGTGGGCGGTCCGGAGCTTCACAGAAAGAACGGGAACACAGACCAAGATGAGACCAGACGGAGTAAGCACTGGGGGGTGGGGGGCTCTTGGGGCCCCAGGCTGAGGCCCAGTGCACTTCCCTCCAGCTACGGCCCGTGAGTCTCAAAGATGTGAAGCCAGGGACGCTTCGACTCCTGCAGCGGCGCCTCGTCTGGTCAGAGGACACTGGGCCCCCACCCCTCCAGGGGCTTCCTGGCTAAGGAAACGAGGGTCTGCCCCGAAGCTCCTGAGCTGGCCGCCTACCGGAGACCCTCACCCAGAGCAGCCTCCCCGCGGCTCAGGAAGTGCCAGCACCTCCTGGTGCCCACCCACCACCCACCACGCACGTCCCTGTGGGGTCTCCCAGTGGCGGCTGGCCGGGCACAGCCTCTGGGAGGCTATTTATACCTCCTGGGGGAGGAATGAAGACTGAACACCCGTCCCTCCCTGTCCCCACCCCCCAGCCCAGCTGTCGGCACTGGGCCTCTTCCCCCAACCCTAGCCTCCATGGCTCCTCACAGCTGCTCCAGCCTGTTCTCCCCATGGCGGCTTGTGCCCCATCCCACCAGGACCCCAATGGCTCTGGTGGCCTTCAGCTGCCTCTGCCCACCCCAAGCCCTCTGGGACCCCTCACCCAGAGTGAGGGCAAGGGAGGTCACAGGAGCCACCTCCCCACCTCTGGTCCTCAGCTATAAGGAGGGGACATCAGCACCTGCCTCATGGTCTGGTCAAGCATTCACGCTAGGTGGGGAGGTGGAGCTGCAGCTTGGGTACCCCAGGACCCTGCGGTGCCCACCCAGAGGCTATGTCCTGTGGGGCCTCAGGTGAAGGGAGGGACAGGACTGACAAATAGTTGGGCAGGCAGAGGCTGGCCCACCAGTGTGACTCAGGGACACTGACCCTCTGCACGCTGCCAGTGCTGGGCATGGTGGCCAGTGTGCGGCAGTCCAGCTGCAGGCTGTCTGGGCTCCGGGCCTGGGGAGCAGAGTGGACACAGTGCTATGAGGGGCTGTGTCTGACGAGTGTGAGGCAGGCAGCTCTAAGAAATGTGGAGTGGGCTCTGGGACACGGCCGCCCGCTACCCCTTGGGCTGCGTTCACCCTGGCAGTGCCCGGCAGGGAGGGGCCGCCAGAGCTCAGCACCAGGGACCAACGCACACAGGAGCCCAGCTCACAGGGCAGTGACGGTCCGACACTCACCGTGGCCTCCGGTCCCCACTGCGGGGTCTGTCCAGGCAGCTCTTTCTCCTGTGAGCAGAGCAGACACCGTCAGGGACCCACGGCCTCAGGCTCCCTGGCCCTGGGGCTGCCGGCCACAGGCGGGTCTGACCTTGCCGAGGCCTTCGGGGCTCAGCTCCCGGTCAATGGAGGAGATGCTCTCCAGGCTGTTCCGGCGGCCCAGGCCTGCCGCAAAGGGGTTGGCGATGACGCCCGGGGACACCTGAGGGGGACAGCGAGCTAAGGGTGGGGGTCCCATTCTCAAGGTCCCACTCCATGGGCAAGCTGACCCCAGCCAGGATCCACCAGCGACCACATGGCTGAGGCGCTGTGCCACGGTTCTGTCTGTGACACAGGGTGGCCGCAGGTCATGTCTGCACATCACAGGCAGCACAGGACGTTCAGACCCTGGCAGTCCGAACAAAGGAGAGCTAAACCAAGATGGGGGCGGGGGGTGGGTGGCTGGGCAGCAGCCTGGTGACACAGGGTACCTCTGGGATCTGACACAGAGGACGACTCGAGAGAAACGCCGACAGGCTCAAGACCAGAACTGGAGTCGCCCATCCAAGCCAGAAGTGGCACCCGGAGGGTGAGAGCACGTGGCTTGGCCAGAGATGGGCTTTGGTCGGGCTGAGGGTACACACGGGTGGACGGGAACACAGGGGCAGCTCACTTCCAACCGACAAGGGACAAAAGGGGCTGCTCAGCCTCAACCAATGGAAGGGACCATTGAGAGGAGGGGTGGTGCGGTGACACGGTGGCATGGAAGACCCCCTGCACATGAACGAGGGACGCCGCCAGTGTGGGCTGAAACACACCCCAGCTACAGCTATGGTTAAAAACCCAACTGGAGTGATAACCACAGGGCCGGGCAGACACCAGCCCCACAGAGAGCAAGAAGAGGCGGTCCAGCAGAGAAAGCAGCTGGGATTCGAGGCTGTGAGCTTCCAGAGCAGGCAGAGGGACGCTGTCACAACAGAAGCTGCCATTTGAGGTCAATACGATGATTAGAAACTGTTGGCGCTGAACAAGTGGGCAGATGACCATGGAAAGAGAGCAAAGACCACCAGAAATATGAGAGTGTGGGACTTAAACATGACTCTGATTTCGACGAAACTGGGGATTCAAGGACAAAGCTCAGGAGCTCGCCTCTCAACTTCCAGAATAACTGAGTCAGAGCCAGGGTGTCCGAGAGGCAGGGCCCAGCCTGGGGGGACGTGGCTCACAGAGGGCCTGAGTGGGAAGGAAGATGCGTGGGGTCTCATGTCAGAGGCCACTTGAGTACAGAAGGGCCGACCTGGGGGGAATGTGCATGCATGCCTGTCCAGTCACAGGGACAGTCGGATATAAGTGTGCACACTCACGCGTGACCCCAGCCACTGGAGTGCCTTGCACGACACCTCCATGGCCCTGAGCACACCCAGGGCCCAGATCTTAGCTTCTAAACATCACTGTCCACTTAGAGGAACCAGTGCTCCTTGGAGAAATGTGACTCCGGGGCTGGTGGGCAAGTAGCAGATGAGCTCAGGATACCTGGCTGTGCCAGGAAGTAAGGTGCTCAAAGGCAAGGGGTCATGTGGAGGGGCCAGAGCCACCTAGAAGCCACATCTGGGACAACCTGAGCATTCAAACCAACAGACAGTGATAGATCATCACCTACGAAATGAAATGGAAGCCAGCGAGTCTTCACTAAGGGTACACGATGGCACATAACCTCGGAGAAGGGGAGGCTCCTCCTCACAGAAAGCCCGCTGACCAGTGTGCAAGGGATGCCAGGAGACAGCATCACACGGCAGCCACCACAGTGCTGATGTCACCCGCCAATGGGGACTGAGCTGGTGGGTGAAAACCTGATGAAGAACGGGGCACTCAGACACTCTCAAAGACTCTGCAAAAGGCTTGTTAATTTCAAAGGGGCAAGAGCTGCTCTGCAATGGGGAGACCTGGTGACACCGTCGTGGAGACCACCAGTCATGGGACAAACCGCCATCCATGCGTCCTGGCAGGAGGCCCTGAGAAGACTGTCACTTCCATGATAATCCTGCCAAAAATGCATCCACTGAAACTTCAGACAAACCCACAGCGAGGGATGTTCTACACAGTGACGGCCTGTGCTCATCAGGACCTCAAGGTCTGAGTCAGGGGAGATGGAGGGCCGCGAGCAGATGCCTGGTGTGTCCTGGGCTGCCCTCTGCTGCAGCCATGAGGCGCACAGGGCCTGCAACAGGCTCCCCGCCTGTTCTCACCCTTTTCTCCAAGTTTAAAAATACTGTACATATTGGCTTCCGTTTTTCAAGGAGAAATCATGGCAGCATAAACCGAGACTAACACAGGTGCTTAAGGGGGCAGGCGATGGAGGTTTGTCCTCTGCGTGCCGTGGCGTGGCCGTGGGGCCCTGTGAAGGGGCACCCTCATGAGACTGATTTTGTAGTCATCGCTAAAAACTGAAATAACCCCAACTATATGTCAAGTTGGCAGTATAACAATATGAGGAATTATTTCAAGTGACTTAAAAACACAGGGTCTGAGTGCACATCCTAGCTGGGTAAAGAAATCCTAAGGACACAGAGAAAACTTAAACTGCTCTCAATGTCTCGATATCAGTAATAACATCGGTACTGAATTTTGAAAGTAAGTAATTATGGTAATGGTATTTAAAATCCACTTTCAGTGTGAGACAAAGAGAGAACTATAAAATCAAAAGAGTAAAAAACCTTTAACGTTAAACATGAATTGAAGAGAACAGTATAAACTCATGGTTTTTTTCTTTCTAAAAACACCCACTCCCTAGGCTCCATGCGCAGAGGCCCAGGAGCCATGAGCACTGAGCCCGCCAGCACCAGACATGTCCTCGCACCAGGCTCCTCCCAGAAGTGGCCGAATCCAGGGCTGAGGCAGAAAATGCAGACAGCTGGTCACATCAGAGAGCAAGGACACCATGGGACGACAGACGTCATGATACAAGGACACAGGAGCCCCACCAGGGGACGATGGGAGCACAGACACAATGGGACACACCAACCCACGTGTCCCCAACATGGAAACAAAGCCAGGGCACCAGCTCGTTGTTCAGAAAGTTGAAACGTGAAAGCATCCCCTGATTACGCCTTTCCTATCAACTCTTATTTCAGGATAAAAAAGTAGCCGATGGAGAAAGTCCCTTCCTTACAGACAGATCTGTAGAAAAACTTAGAGCAACAGGTGTAGAAGGACCAACTAATGTATCCCTCCTTACAGCAGAACCCGAGGAAATGCTGAAAAAGGAGGCGGGTCTTGATCAAAACCCAGAACTGGCTCTTTGACAAGGCTGTTGAAACATGCGACACTTCGGCAAGTGTGACGGGGAGGAAAAGGCAGGAACACTGGATCAGGAGGGGACATGTGCACAGGGGACAAGGGGCAGGAGTGTCCTCCCCCTTGTCCCAAACATGCTGAGGGCCGGAGCATCAGCCTCCTGGACAGCTGCCTGCTGTCTCCTGTCCCACCCCCAGGAACCCTGACGCGACTGTTTTCCGCTGTGCAGACAAGGAGCCAGGCCCCTGGCAGGGACCCCACAGCAAGTGTGAAGTGGGCCGCGGCCACGGCAGGACAAGCACAGGCAAGCTCTGACAGCAGTGCCACCACCTGCCACTCAGAGCTGGAGGATGTGACCAGTGCACAGGTGACACCAAGACAGGTTTGCAGAGTCAAAATAAAGTTAGGGGGGGCCACTGGCAAACCCTGATTCCTACTGGGGCCGGACAGGTTAACACAGATGAGTTGAGTTTATGAAAAATGGACAGGGCCAAGAGCGGTGAGCACCTGACCTGCCCCACCACCCCGGAGGCCTCCGCCCGGAGGTGCCTGAGGCGGCCACAGGGAGGGGCAAGCCTGTCAACCGTGCTCCTCCAAAGCGCAGGCAGGCAGGCTGGCTGGCTGGCTGGAGAAAGCCTGTGGGCTGGACCTCGGCCCACCTGGCACAGGTAAGAACCTTCGAGGCCAGGACTTGAGAAAGTGATACCCACTTGACAACAATTCTCACAGGTTGTGAATAGACGCAGCCCCCTCAATTTAAAACTTATAAAGGAAACGATAGCAAATATTGAACTACAAGATGAAATGGCCCCTTAAAGTTGCATGAGGCAAGGCCACTGGCGCCACCATGAGGGGCCACACAGGGGACAGGAGGGGCCTGACAGGGACAGAGACCCACAGCACTGCTCAGGCAGCAGGGCTCCACTAGGAGACGAAACAGAACCACTGACCAGAATTAACAAGGGAACGAGAGCAGCCTGTGAAAGGACGGGCTGGGCCCTCACAGCCTCACGAAGGCTCTGAACTCAGAGCTGCCCAAGTGCCAGCCAGGGATTCCTTTAGTTAGGAGACTTCATAGGTTCATTTGGAAGAAAAAAAACACGCGAAAATAGACCGAAGTTTTTCAGAAGAAGGAAAAAAAAGGGGCAAGCGGACCGATGAGGTATCATCACACACCATAAAGGGACAGCTTGGCGGGACCACGTCCAGCGCAGCCTGGAACCCATGAGGAGCAGTGGGGAGATGACAGGCAGCTCAGGCTGCTGGGACGCATACCCTTTCGCTTGAAAAGCAATTCCAGTAGATTACAGAGCTGTTTATAAACACTAAGCAGCACAACTACTAGAAGAAAGTATAGGACAGTGTATTAGAAGTCATAAAGAAAAAGATAAGAAGATTTAATCCATAAAAAATTTAGATTTCTGTAACCCCAAAGACACCATTCTTAAAAAAGCAAAAGTGACAATAACATTTGCGCTGCATGTAAGAAAAGATGGACACTCAGGATATAGAAGAGTAACGGCACATTGTGTGATAAAAGCGAACACAGCCCAGGCAGAAGGACATGGCGACGATGGCACGGCCTGCCAGACCCCAGAGGCAGGACAGAAGTCTGCGCCCTGGACAGGAGCGGCGGGCAGGGCTCTTCCCACAGAAACAGCCCTGAAGGCGCAGAGGGAGGGGCCCCGAGCTTGCTGGCGGGCACACAGCAGCGCCAGGGAGGACAGGCAGGCACAGTGAGTGAGTGGGCCACCCGAAGAGCAAGGCAGTGAGGCCAGGTGTAGCCCCTTGGAACTCGGGGACATACCACCCTCTTCAGGATGTCTGAACCCATCACCACGAAGCCACATGTATTCTCTCTTTGAATAGAACGTTTAAAAATAGTCAATGTACTAAGAAACTTTTAAATAAGTAAGCAAAAGCCAAACCCCTTCCAGGGATTGCGTGGCCCAGGACTTATGTCCTATGAGCAATTCCTCCCCAGAAACCACCAGGGTTCCTATGAGGATGCAGGGGAGTGGGGCAGCATGGCCTCCAGCCCAGCGTCCAGCCCTGGAGTAAAGGACATAAGTGCCAACCCTGCCCCCGTTCAGCAGGCACACATAGAACGAGCAGCCACCATAGCTGGCTACGCAGGCATAGGGTGGCAGGAGTCACATCCCAAAGGTCCACTGCAGACAGACCCATCCAAGGTGACAACCTGCCCCACAGGTCCTGCCAGCAAGGACACCCTCAGGGCGGAGCTGGTGTCCACTGAAGCCTGTGGACGAGCCCCATCGCATATGCGGAGGAGCGCCAGGGACAGCAGTAAAGAAGGAGAGAATGAGACAGGGTGACCCCCCTGAGCAGAGAGGACGCCAAGGTCAGAGGCCTGGCTTGCCCAGGATATGAGCCAGGCCAGGTGGCAGGCCTCAGGAGCCCAGTCATGGCCCTGGCGGCTGGCACTTCGTCCAGGGGACTGGGAGGGAGGACAGCTGGGTCCCCCCACATGCCCCACTCGGCTGCCGCTCGGTAAAAGGTCTGGGCAGCTGAGCAGGACTGTGCCCGGGTAAGCAGGGGGGGTGGGGGCCCCCACTCCCTCCCCACCCCGTCCTGACCTAATGGTCATGCTCTGTAGGTGCTGCCCACCTGGAGGCAGGCGGCTGGTTCAATCTCTTCTAGGACCACGCGCGCCCCATTCCTGTGCCTCACCCGACCGGGGCCAGGGCTTCCGTGTTATGAGCAGGTGGTCTAGCCCGTGGTCTGGCACGGCCTGTGTCCCACAGCTCCCCCCTCAGTGGAGTCCCAACGGCTGGGCTTCTCAGGTTCGGGGCCAAAGGACCAGCTAGCTGTCCAGGCCCACATGGAGTCAGCTCGTTATGATCCCCGCAATCTGTGCTGGGGCACTGACCTCGGAGGGCGGGCTGGTGCTGGTGTCGAAGCCGTCGCAGACGAGCACGGTGAGGGTGTTGCCCGCGCTGCGCAGCAGCTGCACAGCCTCGCCATGCGTGAGCCCCAGCAGGCTCTGCTGGTTCACCTCCAGCAGCCGCAAGCCCACTCGCAGGCGGCCATCGCGCCCAGCCGCTCCCGTGGGGCTCACCTGCAGGAACACCAGGCCTTGTGGTGAGGACCGGCTCGCCCTGTGCCCGTTCTCCACCCCACTGGCCCAATGGACAGGCCCGGCCAGCCACAGCCCTCACCTTGGAGATGAAGATGCCCTCGTCAGTGGGGTCACAGGGGTTGCCCGCATGGCCCTTGGCGCCCCCACGGATGCTGATGCCCAGCTTCTCGCCGGGGGCCTTCTGGATACAGAGCTCCCGCATGCCTGGGGGCGGTGGGTCCCTGCGCACCAGCAGGACCAGTTCTAGGCAGGGCCGGAGCAGGGCACTGACCGCTTCTTGGTGCGTGGCGTCCCGCAGATCCTGCCCATTCACGGCCAGGATGCGGTCCCCGACCCGAAGGCCACTGCGCGCAGCCAGGCCCCGAGGGAGCACCTGTTGGGGAGGGCAGGGTCCAGTGGGCGAGGCCTCAGTGCCCCATACCTGGGCAGGCCTGCTTGCAGAGGTTCCCACAGGGCCCCCTCTACCTTGGAGATGAACACGCCAGGCTCCTGGACTCCAAACGGGTGGCTGGAGTGGTCAGAGCCCCCGACGATGCTGAGCCCCAGCGGGCCTCCGGCTCTTGGTAGGCAGATCTCCTGCCAAGACACAAAAGGGCTTGAGAGACTAGCCGGAACAAGCCTGTCAGGGCAGCAAAGGGGCACTTCTCCAGTCTAGAGGGCGTGCGGGCCCAGGACATCTGCAGCCATGTCATCAAGGATGGGGGCGTCCCTACTGGCCACCACAGGGAGGCTGTGTTGGGTGCACAGGGGAAGGAAACTATATTAAGGAGCAGAGCCCTGGAGTCCTGGGGCCTTAGCACCTGCTTGGCCACTGGAAGAGCAGCACCCCACACCTAGAGCTGTGTGGACATGGGGGGGCAGGCAGGAAGGGCTGGGGTCTTACCTCCACTGGATATGGTCCCTCTAGGGCAGCAGCCAGCAAGCTGGAGGCAAGCCTCAGTGCCCCGGGATCCCCAGGGGTGGCAGTGACCACGGAGGTGGCAGCAGCAGCAGGGGGTGGGGGAGAGTGTGGTGGGGGGCTTGGGGGAGGGGGCGGCCCAGCCTCCCGCTCCAGCAGCAGGGCGATGGTGGGGGAGGTGGCGGTCAGCAGGGAGACGGCATGGTCGTGCCTGGCCTCAGTCATGTCCACCCCATTGATCTGCAAGAGTGAGGCCGGTAAGGGGCTCTGCAGGGCTCTGCAGTGGAGGAGCTCGCAGGCCCATGTCCCCAACTCACTGAGAGGACACGGTCGCCAACTTGTAGAGTGCCGGCCCGGTGGGCAGCGCCCCCTTCAGCGATGCGGGAGATGAAGATGCCCTGTGGGGAGAGGGGCGGGGAGGTGAGCCGAGCAGCAGCGCAGCCAGGGGTTACCGGAGTGGTTACCGCCCGGCCCCTGCCCGCTCACCCCGTCGCCAGCTCGGTAAGGCGTGGAGCCTTTCCCTCCGGCGATGCTGAAGCCCAGCCCCTTCTCGCTGCGCACCAGGCAGGCCACGTGGCGCTGCCGGAGGGGCCCGGGGGTCTCGGGCAGGGGCAGGCGCAGGCCAACAAGCCGCCGCTCCCGGGGGCTGTAGTCATCCTCCGGCCGCAGAGGCGTGACGGTGACCGCATTCTCAGGCTCCACCATGCGTTCACGCCAGAGCCGCATGTGCACCGTGGCACCTGCCCCCCGCAGCGCCTCCACAGCCTGGTGGTGCTCAGCGTCATGCAAAGCCACGCCGTTCACCTGCAGACCGCAGCAAGTGTCAGAACAGGCCATGGCCACAAAGCCTCCACACACAGCCCACCACGGACGGGGAGAGCAGGGCACAGGCCCCAGGGCTCCGGGTGGGCTGCCGCCCGTGGGTCTCCCCCGTCTGCAACCCCAGGGCTGAGACACAAGTTGGCTGAAGGAAGCAGGAGGTGCCCCTCCCACTGGTCCACACCTGTGTCCCCTATCCTGGAGACCCCTGCTCCCTGCCCATCAACCGAGCAGTCCCATAGCCCAGGACACCTGGGGTTACTAGGTCTCCGCCCGCAACAGCATCAGTCCTACCTAGATAAACACCCACAAGCTCCTGACATATCTGCCAGGGTTGGGTGGATGGGTGCCTAGGCAGGTTCTCCGGGCAGGAGTTAAACCCCCAACACAGACCCACCAGAGGTCCGACTGCCTCCTAGCCAGCTCTCAGGAGCACCATCCCCCAGCGGCTGCTGCTCCAGGTACAGCCAGCACCCGCCCAGATGGGGGTCTCTGCCTCGGGGGCAGGCAGAGGGCCTCCTGAACCTCGGGCTCACGGGCTCCACACCTCACTCGGGGTCCAGTGCTCGGGGCCCCCCAGCCAAGTGCAGACAGTGAGGATAGTGGCCGGGGTTGCTGACTCACCTCGAGGAGCTTGTCGCCCACTCGGACCCCAGCCCGGGCTGCGGGGCCTTCCTCAGACACCCGAGAGATGAATATGCCCTAGAGGGTGAGGGGGAGCTGAGCCCGGGGGCATCGGCACAGCCCGGGGGCCTCTGTGCAGGCCCAGCAGCCCTAGACCCAGGGAGTGGGGAGGAGCAGTGGGCCTGGGGCAGTCAGAGGCGGGACTCGGGCCACTGCGGGCCCACATGCCAGGGAGCTGGAGTGCACAGGGCAACCTCCAGAAACAGCTTTCAACTCAAACCCGTCAGAGGCAGCTAGTCTGCGTGCAAGGCTGCCCTCTGGGACATCCTCAAATGCCAAGCTCCCACCCAAGTTCAAGTCTAGTCCCGGTCAGCAGTCTGTGCGTGAGAAGGGTGGGACCCAGGACCCAGCGTCTGAGAGAGTGTGAATATCCTGGGGGCAGGGAGCCGGTTTCGAGGGAAATACCCAGCAGAAAGCTGTGAGGTATGAAGGTGCCACATAAAGTCTCATGGAAAATGGCAGAGGTGCTGGGAGACGGTGCCGGCGGGGTCAGCTCACCTCATCATCTCCCTTGTAGGGGGTGGAGCCCTTGCCCCCTGCGATGCTGATGCCCAGGCCCCCCGTCTGCCGCACAATGGTAAGCATCAGCTGGAAACAGAACAGACATGTGGGGTGAGTGAGGGCCCGGTCCTCTCCAGCGACACTTCTGCCAGGGCCAGCTTGGGCGTGACAGAAGAGCTGGAGGAGGATGGGCATCGCTGGCCCAGGGCTCGAGGGAGTGCAGCCCAGAAGAGGTGCCTGCCTGTGGGTGACAAGGCCCTGCAGATGGGGTGGGGATGCGGGAAGTGCCCCAGCACCCCTGCCAAGACTGGCCGCCCTGCTAGAGGCCAGCGCTGTCCCCATCCCTCTGTACCAGAGGATCGGCAGGACCCTCAGGGACATGGTGGCCCCAGGCCCCCAACTCTAAGGCAGCGGGCAGGAGCTCTGGCGGGAGGGGTCTGCACAGGAGCGAAGGGGTAGGTGAGAGGAGACCCCGCAGCCCGGGAAGCGCGGCTGGCAGCAGCCGGGGGCGCAGAGCAGAGCAGCGAGTGAGTACAGACCTCTTCCTCCTCAATGCGAGCGGGCTCTATCAGCAGGTTATTGGCCTGGTCAAACGACACCCCCTGTTAGGACAGGACCAGCGAGGGGCATGCAGGTGAGCCGCCACCTCGCCCGGCCCGCCACCTCGCCCAGCCCACTGCCAGCAGAAAGGAGAGGAAAGACCACACCAAGCTCCCGCAGCCTGAGCACCGGTCCCTCACCCCTCCGGTCTAGGCATGTGACTGCTGCTGCCACCAACCCACCAAACAGGGCCAGCTCGCCGCTCGGAGTGGGCCCACCATCCAGACCCCCGCAGCTATCACAGCATTACACCCATGTTTAAGGAAGAACCACTCAAGTGTCAGACATAAAGGTGCTATGGGGGACAGGGTGTCCCTGGGGAGCTGGTAGGACTCCCGAGTGGGCCCAGGAGGGCCACCTGAGGGCCAGGGAAAGCCCACTCCGAGAAGGGCCTGAAAAGGCAGAAGAGACTAGGCAACCAGAGGCTGGTGGCCAGTCCCGAGATGGGGCTGCAAGGCCAGCAGGGACCCGTGTCCAGCCCTGGGCGGGGGTGAGGGGGCGGAGTTAGCAGCCCTTTGGGACGGGTTCCTCCATTGCCAGCCAGTGTTAAGACACAGGCCAGACCTGCCATGAGTGAGTCCTGAGAATGACACAACACAGACCTGGGGGCTTAGCGAGGAACAGCGTCAACGCTGCCCAAAGGCTGGTGCAGCCCAGACCAGGTGAGTGATGGGGTTAGACCCACCTTCACAGAGGGTGCAGAGGCCACAGCCTCCCCCTTCTCCTCCTCAGCTGCGGCCTCCTCCTCATCTTCCTCATCCTCCTCCTCCTCTGCCCGAGGGGCCCAGGGCGTGTGCGGGCCGTTGTGCCAGCCCCCAGGCCCTGCCGGGCTCTGGCCATCTGGCTGTGTCCCCTGCAGCAGGGCCACCACGGCCTCAGGCTGGGGCAGCTTGGAGACCTTGAAGTGCTTCTTGTAGTGGGGCGTGTCCTTGCGGATGAGCCGCTGCCTCCCCAAGGGCAGGGGCCATGGGGCCTCCAGGGGCCCCTCCTCACTGTCACCATCTTCCGCTGGAGGCAGCAGCAACGTGTCCTCTGCGAAACGCACTGTAGGCTGCAAGGGGCTGAGCGTGAGGGCAGAGGCCCTGCCCACCCCCAGAGGCGCCTGCGGAGCAGAAGGCTGCAGATGGGGGTTCCCAGAGGCTCCCTGCTGCTCGAAGGACAGGGGGAGGGACTGCCCGGTGGGGGGGGGGCACAAAACAGCTCAGCTCCGAGAAGGCCAGGGGCCAGGACTCTTTCCACCCCACGCATAGTACTTAGAGCAGCCCAATGCTGGGAGCAGGGCCAGGAAAAGGGCCCCAGGGAACACAGGGGACAGTCCACAGGGTGGCGTGTGGTGATGAACATGGGAGGGCTGCCACAGCATGCAGCCTGGCTATGGGACAGAGACCTCACCATCCACCCTGCTCCATCCCTGCTTGGGCCCCGGCTGAGCTCTAGATGGGAGTGGCCCACCTGCACCCGGACTGGTCCCAACTGCACACCAGCCTGGGAGAAGGGCGGGGCAGGGCCGAGTAGCCTTCACTTCCAGGTAAGTGGCCCTCAAGGCCGGCCTTACCTCCTCATAGGTCTCCTCTGTGGCCTCCTCCTGGGCGGCTGGTGCGGCATCCTGCTGGCTCAATGCCTCTGCCTCGGCCGCCAGGCCCTCAGGCTCAGCCTGGGAGGCTGTACTGGTGGACAGGTGCGAGTCCTCACTCAGGCCAGACTCGGTGCTCAACCTCTTGTCCTGCGGAGGGGTCAGATGGCAGGTCAGACTGCCCACCCACCCCTGGGCTTCCTGCTGCCCACCCCGCCAACCAGGCCCTGCAGAAAGAGGTGGGGTCTGTGTTTAGGCCTCACACACAGAGCCACTTTTCTTCGGCCTAGCTCCTCACAGGTTTTTCCAAAAATGTCAGAATGACAGAGATGGTAGTAGTTCCCAGGAGGACTCCAGCCTGAGAAAGGCCAGGTACCCTGACATGAGCACAGCTCCCTGAATGGGCCATGCACTGTAGACCCAGGCCGTCATGTCCCCCAGGTACCAGATACCCGGCTGTACCCCAGGGGCCCTGAAGCTTTCCCTGTTGCTAGGAACTTCTGAACAAGCCGAGTTGGGCCTGCCTGGGTTTAGCCCCAGCCCCCTTCACAGAAGCTGGTAAAGCCCGTGCTAGCTCGGTGGGCACATGAGGAAGACACTGGTTCACAGGCCCAGATGCCTGTCCCTAACCCTGTGCCACCAAGGGCACGACTGCCTCTCGGTATTCCCATGCTCCTGCCCCAGCACCTGTTGCCCAATGCAGCTCTGCTCTATGGGAGGGCACAGTAAGCTTGGCCCTGTGCCCATGCCCAGGGCTCCCGAGAGGGGAAAGGCTGCAGGCTGGGGTCCCTCCTGCACCCACATGCACCACTGGTACCTCCTCCAAGGGCGAGGGAGGCCGGGGGTTGGGCCTGCAGGAGGCTTCGTTCCGACGCTCTTCCACACCCCTCTTCATCACCTTGAGCTCGCTGGGGTGAGGTGTGGCCCGACGCTGCAGGCCCTGCAGTGGGCACAGGGGTGAGGGGTGGGCAGGCAGGGGTCAGGCAGGGGTGGTGAGGAGGCGACCCGCTCAGGGACCCCACCCCCCCATACCGGCTTCTCTGCAGCAGCCTCCTCAGCGTCCTCGTCGCCTGCAGGGGCCCCCAGGAACTTGATGACGCTGACTCGGCTGAGCGGGGCATCACTCCAGCTCTCGGAAGGGCTGCTTTGCTGCCCGGGCTCCTCTGCAGGAAACCGTTTCAGGGGGCCTTGGCCCGGCCCAAGGCCATGCCCACCCTGGGCCACGCCCCCAGCTGGCAACAACCTACCGAGGCTGGGCGGGGGCTGCTGGGGCAGCAGGTAGCAGGTGAGCACCTTCTCGCCAGTCTGGGCATCATCCTCCGTCTGGAACCGGAGCATGGGCTGCGCCTGGTTCTCTGCCAGCCACAGGGCCTTGAGGTTGAGATGCGTGAGCGCGAACGGCAGACTCTGCAGCCTGGGGGCCGGCGGGCATGGTCAGCTCAGTGGGGCCGGTGGCACCTCAGCTCAGGGGGACTGGGCTGGGCAGTAGCACTTACCGGTTCCCGGCCACATCCAGAACATGCAGCTCCGCTGTGTGGGCGAGCTCAGGTGGCAGCATGGCCAGGCGGTTGTCCCTCAGGGAGAGGACGCTGAGCGCCACACAGCCCCCAATCTCAGGTGGCAGCACCTCCAGGCGGTTCCGGTCCACGTTGAGGTTGGTCAGCTTGGTCAGCTTCCCCAGAGAGTGGGGCAGGGCCTGGCCAGAGGGAGGGAGGGTCAGAGGTCGGCAGAAGCTGGCTGGAGGCATGAAGAAGGGAGACGACAGCCCCTCAGGGCAGTCTCTGCCTTGCTCTGGCTTCTCCTCCCCCTTTCAACTGTCTCTTGTCCAAGCAAACGTCCAGCTCCCACCACACGATGGCACCCCAGCCTTGCTCTGACTCCTCAAAGCTCCCCCACCCTCTGCCTCCCAGGCTGACTCTGAAACCAATCCCCACCAGCACTGGAGCCCCCAGGCTGGGCCTACCGTCAGCAGGTTCTCAGTGAGGATCAGCTCAGACAGGTTCTCACAGTCCCCAATGGCCTCAGTCACCTCGCACAGGCGGTTCTGGTCCACCTTCAGGATGGACAGCTGCTTCAGCTGGCCTGGTGTTGGGGTGACGTGGCGACAGGGCTGAGTGGGGTGGAGAGCCGGCTGCCCCTCGCCCTGCCCACCCCCAGACCTGCACCCGTCCTGCTGGCAACTGGCCTGGCCAGGCCCACTGCTCCTTCATGTTTTGCTCCTCTGCTCTCAAGATAAACTGCCAGCCCTACCCACACACCCCACCCTGACTGCAGGCTGACCCCTCCTCAGAAACGCCTCCCAGCGCCTGGGCCGGTACAGACCGATGCCATCAGGAAGCCTCTGCAGCAGGTTCTGAGACAGCAGCAGGTCGGTGAGCAGCGCCAGCCCTCCCAGCTCCGCGGGCAATGCTTCCAGCCGGTTCTCCGACACATCCAGGCATACCAGCCGTCGCAGGTTCCCAAGCTCCTGAGGGTGGGCACAGAGGGTCAGGACCCTGCAGGGCAGGAGGCGGGACCAGCCACACCCTCACTCACCGGAGGCAGTGCCGACAGCTGGTTCCGGTCCAGCCACAGCTCACGCAGGTTGGGCAGAGCCCCCAGAGTGTCAGGCTGCAAGAACAGAAGGGACAGAGTGACAGCCCAGACTCACCTGCCCTGCCTGGCCCCGCCCTGCCCACAATGGCCCCACCCTCTCCGCACCAGCACTTCCAGGTCGTTGCCTCCCAGATCCAGCTGTTCCAGCTTGACCAGAAAAGACAGGGACCTGCACAGGAAACAGAGCAAGTTTCATTTCGGCCACATGGCCCAAAGCCCCAGGGCTGCAGCCCGAGCTGGCCACTGGAGGGGCGCCTGAGCCCACTCACGCAGGCAGCGACTTGAGCAGGTTCTCCCGGAGCTCCAGGGTCACCAGGTTGGCGAGGCTGCAAGAGAGACCAGGATGGGGTATGAGGGAGGCAGGGGCAGCAAGGCGAGGGACCGGAGCAGGGCTGAGCCAGGCCGCCCCCAGGAGGGCACTCACTTGCCCACATCCCCGGGCAACGTTTGCAAGGACACGTCATTCAGGGCCAGGTGGGCCAGGCTGCGCAGCTGCGTGAAGCCTTCAGGGAGCCTACACCAGAGGAAGCGGGGCCTCAGACTCCAGGCCAGGGCTTCGGGACCTGCCACACCCCACACCCGCCCCCACTGTGGTCACCACCCACCTGGACAAGGGGTTCCCGCTGAAGTCTGCAATCTCCAGGGCCTTGCAAAACTTGATGCTCTCAGGAATCTCAGGAATGTCTGTGACAAGTGGGGTCACTATGGAGCAATGCCCGTAGCCTCTAGGAGCTCAAAGCCCTTCCTGCCACCCCCAGGTTCCACCCGAGACCCGCCCCGGGCTCCACACCGTTCCGGGACACGTCCAGCTCCACCAGCTGCATGAAGTTGGCCACCTCAGGAGGCAACCGCTGGATCTCGTTGTCACTCAGGCCCAGTTTGCGCAGATTCAGCAGCCGAAAGAAGGGCTGTGGGCAGGGGTAGGGTCATGGAGGCAAGCCTGAAGCGGAGGGCTCTCCAGAATAGACACAAGTCCACAGATCATGGGTCCCCTGAGCCTGTCTGCTCCAGGCCACAGAGGAACCCGGGGTCCTGCCACACCACCCCTCTCTGCAGCAAAAAAGGCAAGGACGGGAAAATGTGCACACACACCTTGCTACATTTGATTCCCTGACTATTGGCACCAGGTCCCTTCGTGTCCCCTCAGATGAGTTCCGTTCTGGCATCTTGCCACAGGGCTGGCCTCACGTGTTCAAATCTCAGCTGAGAAGTTACCTTCTCGTGACTTGGCGAGTCTGTACCCTGCCCTGTATGTCCCCTCAGGACTCCACCCACCACCTGAATCGCCTCTACCCCCCACCTAGCAGGTGAGTCCTCCAGGGTGGTTTCTGCTACTGCACCCCAACAACCAGCCAGACCCAGGTCTGTAGCAAGAACTCGACAATCACCAAAAAAGTAACGAAAACAGTAAAGTGCCATAGATGCACATGGTGTTGTGAGAAGGGCCGCAGGCCATGTGTGGGACCTGAAGAAGACCACAACACCAAGGCCCTGGCTTCCAAGTCCAGAGCAGAGCCACACCCTTTAAGGTGGCACGCAGGCCCCCCCTTAGCACCTTGCTCCAAAAAGGAAGTCCTTTTGTGACTTGCTTCCTTTAGCCTCCTCTCCCGTGGCCTTAGGAGAAGGAAAGCAGGCTGACCCAAAGGAACAGCACCAGGCGGACAGAATGCAAACCAGTCAGGGACAAGCACCTTGGGGAGGTTGGGGGGAGGGACTCCCCTACCCACCTACCCACCCCAGCCCCAGGAGGAAAAGGAAAGCAATTCAAAGAGAAGGCTGGGCTCCCACCTCCAGGGCAACCCAGTAAGTTCGTATCAACTACTGACCAGGTTCACCTTCTTTCCACCCTGACCTCCCCCACAGCGGTCAGTTGGTCAGTTTGCGGCTCCTCCTCTAGGCTGTTACCATCCCCGCCCCCAAGCAGGCACCTGATGACCATGGCCACCTGGTGCCGGTGGTGGATGAGGAGGGTGGGGCTGGCCTGGGTGGGGCTCTGGCCACTAAGAACCAGCAGGGCCGGCTGGAGGTGCCCCGCCCGGGCCAGGACTGCCGAAGACTCGGACGAACCGGCAGGCCGACCGGCCGACAGGGGCGAGTGCTGGGCCGGGCGGCCGCTCACCTTGGGCAGCTCGCGCAGCTGGTTGGCATCGAGCAGCAGCTCCTCCAGGCTGCGGCTGTAGCGGTAGATCTCCTCGGGCACGGCCTGCAGTGAGCAGTGTCGCTTGTCCACCGACTCCACGTGCCGGTTGCAGCGCCACAGCGGGATGCACTTGAGCATGGTGCGGGCGGGCAGGCGCGCGGCGCGGACTCAGGCTCGGGCTGCGGGCGGGGGGCGGGGCTCGGCCCGCATGAGCGCCGGGGCGGCGGCGGCGGCGGGGAAGGAGGGGCAACGGGCGCGG